GCAAACAGCAGCTCATGTAAATTCAGGGTCAGCCCCAGCGTCTCCTCAGCTCTCCTGTGGACAGTGACAATGACTTTCTTTCCTTCCTGCTGCTCTGAATTCCCTAGGTACAGGTGCTGGGAAAGTGGCTGGGACTTCATGCTTTGCCCTAGTGTGGGTTATGAGCTACCAACGACACTCAGGCAAAGTGTCGGAATCTGCTCCATCCCAACACGAGGAAAGGGGGAATGGGCTTCCATGGCCAGCCCTGAAATCCCATGTGGCCATGAGGCTAGGATGGAGGAAACCCACACGGTAACACAGAACGCCGAAAACCACAGGCCCGAACCAGCCAAGGACGGAGGAGTAAAAAGAGGAAGGAAAGCTGCCAGAGGGTACCAGAGGCAGCGCTCCAAGTTGGACACGGAGCTCAGAACCTGAAGCCATGAAATCGAGAACAAGGACAGGGGGCTGGAGAGCGTGGGCACAACCTAGAGCACCTTGTTGCTTCGAGTCTGCTTCATCGGCCTACATGGACATGGTGCCTGGATGGATCACTCACAGCCCCCTGCCCTCCACCACACACACAAACTCACAAGCCTCCTGCCCGAAGGCCTAAGGACAAAAAAACTGGCACAAACGGCCAGATCTCCAAGTGCACAATATTATGGTCATTATAAAGCAGCCAAGCTACAGAACTGACCTCTGTCAGCCAGGGTGGGAGATAGTATTTTACAGACAAAAACTATCAAGGAAGAAACCCCCCTGGCATGGGGTCCAGGGAAGCCACGTGCAAACACCCCCATCCGTTTCTGCTGCTCGCTGCCACTGCACCGGGGGAGGCACCGCCCCAGAGAGGGCCAGAGGCCTCCCCCCCGGCACAAGGCCTGGCGGGCGCTTAGCCGGTGTGCAGGGAAGAGACGGGCCTGGGCGCACGCTTGGATACCCCTGAGCTGTCTGCCATGGGAGAACTCATTTGTTTCCCAGTTTCAAAACTAATAATTACATTTGCTTTCCAGTGTTGCCATAGAATTCTGCATGCTGTAACAATACAGTGCTGACTGAAAAGCAAGCAGAATATAAAATTATGTATATGGTATAATTTCAACTCTGCATAAATGTTTATGCATACACACGGAAAAGGTACTGGAAGGAAATAAACCAATATTTTGACAGTAGGAGCAAATTCTAACCTTTGATCTATTTGGCCTTCCCTGTGCCACCAACCAGCCTGTACCACAAGCCGGCTGGAGTGCAGGCAGGGGTTTTTGTGCGACTCAGGAAATGAAAGAACAGGCTGCAGCCCCAGAAGAGTGAGGTCCCGCCCCAGTCGAGTACTAACGGCAACTACTGTCTTCCTGTAGCTTTTCCACATTCCTTAATTTTGTTCCCTCTGCTTTCCTCTGTAATAAGTTTGAACCTGTTGAACTGTTTGTGCCCTTTCAGAACCAAGGCAGGTAGCTGTCGATTAACTAATCGGTTGCCAGGAGGCAGGCATGACAAACACCGTCGGCAGGGATCTACTGATCACACTTGGGGGAACTGCAGAATGAACAGCAGGTAGTTCTGACCCCATGACACAGCTTTGGGGGCTGCATTCATGTGACCTGTGTGTGCCATTCACTGGTTAAAAAGTGAATAACGTATGTCATCAGCAAGACATATGTGAACTGGGGGGACCAACTGTGTAGTGAGAGGTAGCTTGGATGAAGCAGGAAAGATCACGTGTGACAGTGAATGACACAGGGTCTGACCCGAGTGCGCATCTGCCTGCTACACTGCCAGCCGTGTGAGCTGGGAGAGCTCACACTCACTGAGCCTGCTTCTTCTGTTTGTTAAATGGAGATGTAATGCCTATCCTCTTGGTAAATAAAGTTTATTAAAAAATGAGTGCTGCTAGCCATCAGAGAGATGCAAATTAAAACCACAATGAGATAACACTTCACACCAGTCAGAATGGCCATCATAAACAAATCAACAAACAACAAGTGCTGGAGAGGTTGTGGAGAAAAGGGAACCACGGTACACTGTGGTGGGAATGTGGTCTGGTGCAGCCACTGTGGAAAACAGTATGGAATTTCCTCAGAAAAGTAAAAATGGAATTACCTTTTGACTCAGCAATCTCACTGCTGGGATTATAGCTTAAGAACCCTGAAACACCAATTCAAAAAACCTATGCACCCCGATGTTCATAGCAGCAAAATTTCCAATGGTCAAGTGCTAAAGTGACCTAACTATCCATTAGTAAATGAGCAGATCAAAAAGCTATGGTACATTTGCACAATGGAATACTATACAGCAGAAAGAAAGAAGGAGTTCCTACCCTTTGTGAGAACATGGATGGATCTGGAGAGCATTGTGCTAAGTGAAATAAGCCAGGCAGTGAGGGACAAATACCGTATGATTTCACCTATAAGTGGAACCTAATCAACAAAATGAGCAAGCAAGCAAAATGTAACCAGAGACATTGAAATAAAGAACACACTGACAGTAACCAGAGGGGAGGGTGGAGGGGATAATGAGGGAAGGATTTTCAGGAACAACTATAAAGGACACATGTACAAAACCAAGAGGGGGTGGAAGCAGGGGAGGGAGGTGGGAATAGCGGAGGTCAGGCTGTGAGGGAGTGGTGGGAGGAAATGCAGACAACTGTACTTGAACAACAATAAAATAATTTTCAAACAGTAAGTGCCAGAGGTCACAGTACTATTGCCCTCCCACGTATCTTCTCAGCCTTCAACCCAGACTAATGCAGAGCCCAGCGAAGATCATCTGCGAGATGCTCTGCATCCGAGGGAAGTGCCCTAGCCCAGAGGCTCACACCTAAGCCTTTCTTACCTGTTTCCACGGACTCTACCTGCACCTGGTCCAGAGGTGTCTCCATGGAATTCATGGGGAGCTAGTCTCTCCCCATCCCAGCCTGCAGCTCTAGCTTTGCTAAGTACTGTATCTGTTCCCTTTGCAGTCTGGGGCGGGTGCCAAGACGATCATATGTTTCCGGTATTTAGAGTGCCTTTTAGGAGAAATTGATTGGTGCTCAGAAATACTGTCACTTAATATGACTATTTTCTTCACTTGACAATAGTAAAAAGTAGCAAAGCTGTTGCTCTTAAAATATGTATCCATGAATTCTGAATTTCCAAAGACTAATTCACCTGGTTTGAATAAGTATATACAATATTTAATCTTTTCTTTTAGCAATTCTTTTTTTCTATGAAAAGTAAAAATCTGTTGCCTGCCCATTAAACTAGATCAAACAAGCATTTTTTCCAGCCTCCAGCCTCCAAAAAGCCCTAAGTCTATCTGATAAATACCCAAAACTTGAATATTCTTTGTGAACTACAATTCCATACATTAATTTTTACTGCAACAATAGAGCTGACCTCGCCTATACGGTCAAGTATCTGATGACAGATTTCCAGCCAGAAGTGGCCATTTGAGTAACAATGACATCGAGAGCAGACGAGCCACCTACCCTCATCTCAAGTACCTGCAGAGCATAGAGGCTAAGCATCTGAGAGATCCCTTGCACTTGTGCACACAGTCCCTTATCACCACCTTCTCTCAATTCTATCTCCATATGCAATTTCTTTTTAACTGTAAAGAGGCCCCATAATTCTTGAATTGCTGACATTTAGTTTGTTACCTAGTATATGCTTTACCCTGAAAAATATCCCACCGCTTCCCTTGGTATCTGTTCTTAACACAGGGCGGGCTTTCCCCCCTCCTCTGCGGCCCCTTCCCAGTCACACAAGCCAGCTTATTCGTTCTGTGGGACTGGGCTGCTGCTTCTCTCTCCCACTGTTCTGTGCTTAGCCTCGGCCAAGACCTCAATCACCAATTATACACTGGTGACTTTCAACTTCATGTCTCCAGACCAGAGATTTCCTTTGATCTCCAAATGTGTGAATCCCTAAGATTACTTACTGCAGCTCCTTTAGGTATTTCAAAGGGACTTTGGCTTCAACTTCTCATGTGCTTCTGAAATCAACCTTATGGGAATCAGTCTTCCCACCATGATTCTGGTCCTTTATCAGTGTTTCCTTTGTCTGTGAGTGGCCAGAACTCACCAAGCTTGGCACTCTCTTCCACATTAACATGTGTTAAATAGATACACACATGCACGAATATATGTGTGCATGCATACAAAATGGCACACGTAGAAATGAATCTCGTTTTATCACTTGCTAAACCTCAGAGTCTTGATGACTATTTTCATTTATCTACTAGGGTAAGTAAAAATCACTCATTTAAAAACAAACATGGTGTTGAATTCTACACAAGTAAAATACTTATCTCTGCACACACTGAACTTTTTCCATCATAATTATTGCTAGTATAGCCTAAGTTGTCATCTGTCATTTCAAACAACTGGTTGAGTTTTGTTTTTTGACTTCTCATTTCCCCATTCAGCAGAGAGCTCTTATGCTGATGTCTTTCGGATGGAATCACACCCCTAATTTCACTGCTACCACAGGTCAGCTACCCATCTATTTCCTGATCTAAAAGCAAGGATGAGAAGGGACTACATATACTGTTTTATTTTTTAAGTAGAAGCAAGTGATTAAAAGATTCCAAATGCCCCATTTCTTACTTTCATCCAGATGTAGCCATTAAGGACAACTTCATCTTTCCAAACATTTTCTAAATATTTAATTTCCCATTTACTGCTAGCATTTGTACCCAGGATTGGCTACATAATTTGTGAGGTCCAGTGCAAAATGAAAGAATTTCAGAACAGCAACAGCCAAGCATTAAGTTTGGGGCCCTTCCAAGCATGGGCACAGGCCACACAGCCATGAAGCAGATTGCATCTACAGCTTTCCTAGAGTTTTCTTTCAACCCTGTGTACTCCAAACACCATGTCTCCATTTCTTCTGAAATTCCCATACTTTCTTTAGCTTCTTCTGCCATAATCACCTGTTACTCAGTCATTCAACAAACCCTGAAGGAAGGGCTCTCATGTATCAGGCCCCGGGCTAAGTGCAGGAGATACAGAGATAAATAATGATGATTCTTACCCTCAGGGACCTGAAGTCTTTCTCCACAGGACTTTCGGTACCAATCTCTGAGTTGAAGTCTCTTCATGGGATAACAGCTGACTTCACCTGGTTGTGGTTGAAAAAGATACATTCTATGACATGTATCTTTTTAAATAATTGACATTTGCCTCGCATATGTTGTATCCTAGAAAATATTTCATCACTAAAGAAGAATAGGTGTGATGTTAGGCAGAGTGTTCTGTTAGATCTAGTTGGCTTATTGTGTTAAGTTCTCTGTTTTCTTACTTGTCATTGTTGTGGTTGTTCTTTTCATTATTGATAGTGGGCATTAAAGTCCCCAATTATCATCGCAGACCTGTGTTTCTCCCTTCAATTCTGTCAACCTGGCTTCATGTAATTTGATGGTCCGTTGTTAAGTACATAAATGTTTGTAACTGTTGTATCTTCTTGCTATATTGAACCTTTTATTAATATATAATGCCCTTCTTTGTCTTTCAAAAGCTTTTTAATTTAAAGTCTACTTCGTCTGACTAGCATAGCCTCCTTTGCTCTTTTGTTTTCTATTTGCATGGAATATCTTTTTCATCTGCTCACTTTCCATCTACTTGTATCTTCTGTAGACAGAATATAGTTGAATAATGCTTGTTTGCCCATTCTGCTAATCTATATCTTTTAATCAAAGAGTTTAATTTATGTTTAAAGAACTTACTGATAAGGAGAGACTTCCGTCATTCACAATTTCTTTTCTATATGCCTTATCTTTTTTGTCCCTCACTTTCTTCTTTTATGTGCATATTGTCTTTTTTTGTGTTTTGCCCTTTGTTTCCTTAGTGTGCATATTGTCTTCTTTTGTTTTTAGTTGATTTTTTGGAGAGAAATGTTCACATTTCTTTCTTATTTCCTTTTGTGTATATTGTATGCATACAATATACACAATTTTCTTTGTGGTCTCCATGGAGATTACCTTTAACATCCTGAAGTTATTATACTCTAATGAGAACGTGTACCAACTTAATTTCAATAACAGAACACTCTACTCCTTTACAGCCCCAGCCCCATCTCTTTTGGCTTTTGAAATCACAAAATTAAATCTGGATATATTGTATGCCCTAAAACATAATCTTTATTTTAAATGCATTAGTTTATTGAATTATGTTTTAAAAAGTAGAGTTACATACCATTGTAACAAGAACACTAGCTTCTGGATTTGCCTGTTAGTTTACCTTTACTGATATCTTCATTTCCTCATACAGCCCTGAGTTACTGTCTAGTTTCCTTTCACTTTGGGGCACTGCTTGCCGGGCAGGTCTAGTGGTAATAGACTTCCTCAGCTTTTGTTTATCTGGGAAGTCTTAATTTCTTCCTGACTTGTGCAGGTCAATTTTGCTGGATATAGTATTCTTGGTTGATAGATTTTACTTTTAGCCCTTTGAATATATCTGCCCATTGCCTTCTGCCATCCAACGTTTCTGATGAGAAATATGCTAAAAATCTTATTGAGCAGGCCTTATATGTGACGATTTTTTCTTGCTGCTTTCAAGATAGCCTCTTTCCTTGACTTTTGATCATTTGATTATACTGTGTCTCAAAGACTTTGAGTTCATCTTACTTGGAGTTCACAGGGCTATTTAGATCTTTATATTCATATATTTCATCAAGTTTGGGAAGTTTTGAGCCATTATCTCTTCAAATATTCTCTCTTCCTCTTATTCTCTTTCTCTCCTACTCCTTAGGCTCTCCCAGTGCACATGCTGCTCTACTTAACAATGCCCCACAGGTCTCCTAGGCTCTGTTCATGTTCCTTTAATACTTCTACTCTATGTTCCTTAGACTTGATAATTTCCATTGTCCTGTCTTTACATTTACTGGTACTTTCTTCTGTTTTCTAATCTACCTTTGAATCACTCTAGTGCATTTTCATTTTAGTTACTGTACTTTTTGACTTCATAATTTCATTTTGGCCTCTTTTTAGGTTTTCTATTTTTGATTGATGTATCCATTTTGTTCATTCATTATTTTATTGACATTATCCCCATCCCTTGTTCTTTGAGCATCTTCAAGAAAGTTGTTTTAAAGTCTTCGTCTAGTAGATCTGCCATCAGTTCTATTTCAGTGACAGTTTCTGTTGACTTATTTTTTTCCATTAAATGGACCACATTTTCCTGCTTCTTCCTATGCCTTGTGATTTCTTGTTGTTGTTGAAAACTGGATATTTGAGTCTAATAAAGTTGTAACTCTAGAAATCAGATTCTCCCTCTTCTTCAGGGTCATTGTGGAGAGTTCTTTTTCTATTGTTTATTTTTTTAAATTAATTATTGTTCAATTACAGTTTTCTGTCTTTTACTCCCATCCCAGCCCACACCCCCAGGGCTCCCCACCTCCCTCCCATTTCCTCCCCCTGCCTTAGTTTTTGTCCATGTGTCCTTTATACTTATTCCTGTGAATCCTTCCCCTTTTCCCCTGAAATTTTCTCCCCTCTCCCCTGTGTTTCCCTGTCAGCCTGTTCTGTATTTCAGTGTTTTTGGTTATATTTTGCTTGCTTGTTTGTTTTGTTGTTTAGGTTCCTGTTAAAGGTGAGATCATATGGTGTTTGTCTTTCATCGCCTGGCTTATTTCACTCAGCATAATGCTTTCCAGTTCCATCCATGTTGTTGAAAAGGGTAGGAGCTCCTTCTTTCTTTCTGCTGCATAGAATTCCATTGTGTAAATGTACCATAGTTTTTTGATCCATTCATTTACTGATGGGCACCTAGGTTGCTTCCAACTCTTGGCTATTGTAAATTATGCTGCTATGAACATTGGTGTGCATAGGTTCTTTTGGATTAGTGTTTTAGGGTTCTTAGGATATAATCCTAGCAGTGGAATTGCTGGGTCAAAAGGCATATTCATTTTTAGTTTTCTTAGAAAATTCCATACTGTTTACTGTGGGGAGTTCTTATTGCATTTGTTTACTATTGTAGACTGACTCTGTACCAAGTACCCAGGATCACCCTGCAGCATAAACCAAAGATCTTATCAGAACTTTTCTGAGCTGGAGCCTTTCTCCAGACACATGTAGCCACTCTCTAAATGTTCCCTTGAATGCATTTGCTTTTCAAAGTCCTAGTCTTCAACGTCTAGCTTCTAACAGGGCAAAAGGAAAGGAAGAGTGGAAAGCCTTTAAATCCCCTGAAAGTCACTTCGGCCGGGGTGGGGCGGGAGGGGGTCACTATAATGGGGAAAGCCTTGTTGCTGCAACAACACAGACCTCTTGTTTTACAAGATTTTATTTACTTTTAGAGAGTGGAGAGGGAGAGTAATGTTGATGTGCAAGAGAAACATAGACCAGTTCCCATTTGCATGCCCCCAACCAGGGACCTGGTCTGCAACCCAGGCATGTTCCCCGACTGGGAACAGAACCAGTGACCTTTTGGTTTGCAAGATGATGGCCAATCCACTGAGCCACACCAGCCAGGTGCACAGACCTCCTTGTCTGCACCTTTATGATGAACAGTATCAGCCAGTGATCAGGGCACAGCCCTCTGACATTTTGAGAACGGGCTCATATCTGTTCATCCTGTCTCCTGCAAGCTGTGTGTAGGCTGCTCTAGAGCCACACACACAGCTGATGGTCATGGGGTGGCAGATGGGTTGCTCCTACTATGGTAAGAGCTGAAGTTGACTGAAAGTAACTGTAATTTGCCTCCTAAGGCTTCCTCTGGAAGTTAAAAACCTTCAATACATCTCAGAATTCCCAAACAGTTGTATCAGACAAATTCTGCCAGTGCAATTGTTGTCTAGGTATGGAGACAGATACCTGGTACCTCCTACCCCTCCACCTTTTCAAAACACTCTCTTTACCCATAGGTTTTTTTTTAAATTATATTAACTTTTGATGAAAGCCCATATACCAGCTTTTGCAAAGATAATAGAGGAGATAAAAAAATGTCCTAAATAAGTAGCATAGTCCAATGGAGGAAGCAAGACACCAAAAAGCAAAAAACAAGATTTTTTGTCTAATTTGTTTTATCCTCTCGAGCAGTACTACACAACAGAATGTGATCTACATGTGTAAATAAAACTTTAGCTGCGATGTTAAAGCAAAGCATAACAAAACAGGCAAAATTAATTTCAATAGATTTTTAAAATTCAATATATCTAAAACATTATTTAACATACCATTGATATATCATTTACTGTGGAGATATTTGCATTACTTACTCTAAGTCTCTGAATCTGACGCACGTTTTATGCTCACAGCACATCTCAATGGAGATGTTACCTTTTCCTCCAAAGTAATTGACCTGCATGTAGATTTCATAAAGTTCACATCTGCAAAAGCAGGTTACATAGCCAAGTTGCTCTAGACATACTTAAAATTTCCCAGGCACTAGTAAATATCAGTTTTTAAGTTTAAATTTATTAAAATGAAGTAAAATTTAAAATTTGGTTTCTCTAGCCCCGTTTCCAGTGCTCAGCAGCCCTGTGCAGCCAGTGTCTAAATCATGCAGATTTAGAGCATGACCTTTGGAGAGGTCCGTTACCACCTTGCAAGTCAGGTTTACCAGGTGGATTATGAGATGATTGTACCTCTGTATCTCTTATGCCACTTGAGGTTCTATCACTTCGTAATCCAAAATGACAAAAAAGAAAAGAAAAGAAAACCCTCATAATTACAGAGCATCTCAGAAACTCCACATCACACCTTTGAATAATTTCTTGGCTGATCTCCACATCAGTGTGTTTAATACATTTCTGAGGGTATTTCAAACCTCAGTGTGTTAGTCATATGTAAATAGATTCCATTAATATTTTAAATATATATTTGCTAAATGAACCTTGAAATGATCATATTCTTCAAATACCTTTGCTTCTTATGTTACACATTTAAGTGCTCGCCCCTAAAGCTTTGGAAGTGTACGAGGCGGCTGTGCCAGAACCGGCAGGGCCGGGAACACCGCCCCGCCGCCAGCTGCTTCCCTCCATCATCACTCGTCTGCTCAAGGACGGCTCCCGTCCATCTCCACACGGGCCTGTTTCCTCCCTCACCTGCCTGTCCTATGAGTTAAAATGAACTTCGAATTTTCTATGTTATTT